GAAAGTATGGTAAAAACTGGTAAAATGTACCAACAATCACATTTAAAAAATATACACTTAAAAAAACCCCCAAAAAAAAAAAAAAAAAAAAAACGGTAGCCATCAGGTATTTAAGAAAAGTTTCTGCATCAGTTTATGGTCAAAATAAGAAGCTGAAAACATTAAATACAAATCAATTCTACAATTATTAGTTGCAGTATATATTCTTATTAGAACCTTTCCTAGGGTTCACCACCCTTTCCAGCTGTTTTATTTCACAAGGTTGGAATGACTACAATCATCAAAAAAGATATGAACCAATGGACACCCCAGTGTTATAGGTAATCATAATTGTGTTTTGTGTAATTACAGAGATACTATGGTAAACCATTCTGCAAATTCTAGGTCTTCACTTTTTTTTCTCATTTATGTTCTTGGACTGATTAGGGATTAAGTGATTTATATTACTATATCTTACCTTCTCCGTCTGAATGGTTAAGGTGGTGTTACAATTGACAGCAAAATTGCAAACTAGCTATGGAGAGACGTAACTATCATATACAACCCCCCACCACAAACACACATTTTCATTCACAACAAATTGGTATAAGCAGAAAAAAACATTGTAATTAAAATACAATATAAATGCATTAATATAAATCTTAAAGGGATTTATCTGTTTTTGTGAAAACTACTGTCATGACAATATCTAGATATCATATCAGTGTTCTTATGTTTAACACGCTAGGTTTTGCAAAGTCAAAAATCTGAGAACTGTATTTTTAAAATATATACCAACACCATATTCTAACAAGGTGAAACATGATAAAGCAACAAGTGATAATATCTCACCCATGTTATTTTTATTTTATTTTTTTCCAAACCAGCTGAGACTGAAAAGCAACAGAAAATGTTGTCCATTGATTGGTTTCTAGTTTTGGGGGGATGTCACTCTGTGTATCCCCACCCACTGTGACATCTCATTAGTCCAAAATCCCACTCCTCATATATATTACATATCAAATATGGGTGTGACTTTGTCCCAACATGCAGAAGTTTCACAGAAGTTTGGACAGAAAATTACTTGTAACTGTCTTTGTTGGGATATTTTTTTTTTACATTTCAGTATGCACTATGATTATCTTTGTTGCTTCAGTGTTTACAATCCAAACTAGAGTAAATAAACTGGAAAAAGTTTGTACAGGTAGTGCTATAGATAACAATAATCTTAGATTGGTTAGATATTTGTTGCTAAAACCTTAACTATCAGACCTTCTGTGTTGTTGATTTTGTTTTTTTTGTAAGAAACTTGTTCACATGCTCTGTTTTTGAGTAGAGTATCTCTCTACGGTGCTACAAATTTTAATTCTTCCGTGCAGCTGAGTAGAGAAAAGACAGGATGTGGAGTGAGAAGTCTTCAAACAAACATGTTCATGTTATTTAATTTAATACCTGGAAACTGAACTGATTGAATAAAGATCTTGTGAAAAAAAAAATGAATGGAAGAAAGAAAATGAAAGAAACAATAAAACAAATTGACAATATGAACTTGGGCATTGTTCTCATTGATAAATCTTTAGACTGTAAGCACTCTCAAAGAATAGAGTTTTATTTGTTAAGTTAATAATATTGAAAGCATAGATTAAATGTATAAAAATGTCAGGCATTGAAAATAAATTGTATTATCCCGAAGGGGACATTTGTCTTGACTCAAAGAGCATTTACAATAACAATACATTGAATCCATAAACAATAAATACAACAATACATAATACATAATAATAAAAACCTTCCCTGTAAAAACACAAGTCGCTATACCTGCCCATGTAGTAAGATACCTTTCATTTGTTGTGTAACATGATTTTTATAAAACGATTGTATCCGCAAACTGGTAATCTGTACCGTCTTCCAGAGGGCAACAATTGATACTCTGTGTGCAATATGTGCAATGGGTCATCTAAAATTGTATGTACTTCCCTAAGAACTGACTCTTCATATAATGATGACTCACTGGACTGATGTACTCTTTTTTTTTTTCTCATGGTCTTCGCTGCTAGGTGTGCAAGCAAGGCCTAAAATTAACACTCGCCAAGCGCCAAATGAGAGTAAAAATCAGCGTTGGCGAGTATGTGCAAGTCGCCAGTTGGCGGGTAACGTTACAACTTTTACGAATTATTACAATGCAATGAAGTAAAAACAACAGCCAGTTTTAAAAGAGATTCGCCGTTTCTGACATAAGCGAATAAAATAATATTTTCCGAAAACAAGATCATCGTGATTAGCTGTTCTGTCATAAGTGACAAGAGCGAATCAAATAATAGGATACAAACGGGCTGATAAGGTCAGAGCAGTGTGATGGCCAGCTTGTCCCTAGACACGGTTCTAATAACTTTTAGCTGAGAAGATTTTTCTGCTTCATTTCGGAAAATTAACTTTTCCCTTCTTTGTTCTTCTAACACGAGAATGCGGCGACACATGCCTGGGGTTACGCCTCCTAAACGGTGCAGTGAAGTATAGTTTGAAAGGCTGCGCGTTCGGCTGTACACACGCTGAGCCGCTTCAGACAGCTCACCAGTAGCACGAAAACACACAATTATATCAAAATGCGCGGTTTTGGCGAGTTACCTTGTAAACGTAGTCTTAAATTAGTTATAAACTCTTAAATGACTGTAAAGAGTTGGGAGAAAATCGGATGCGTGTCAGATCCGCATCACATGCATCAAGATTTTTAAAGAGACAGCGCTGATTTTAAAGTGAACCCCGCTGAAGTCTGTCATTTGATGTAAATCAAAGAACAAAAGAAAAAGAGAAATCCTTGGACTGTTCTAGTCGCTGATTAACTTTTATAGCTTGAATAAAGATTAATATGCATATTATGCATATATAATATAGTTTATGTGAAGATTGTTTTAAAATCACTAAAATGTTGAATGGCTATAATTAATAGGGAAAATTTAGGGAAAATGCACCAGCAGGACAAATTAAAAATATTGTAAAAAATATTTAGTCATTGTAGTAGTAGGCTAATAACTGCCTGTTTTTGCAAAAAGAGTTTCATGGCCGGTAAAAAAAAAATTTGGCCGGTAAATTTTATCATGTCACCTGCCATTGGCAGGTGTGGCAAAAAGTTAGTTTTAGGTCCAGCTGTGTGCAAGTATAGACTTTGTTTAAACCGTAAGGTTACCAAACCATTCCGTAATGCAGTATCTAATTATGGTCTTTATAACTGTCCAATAAAATAAAATAATTTTCTGTTCCACTTCATAAATCCTAAGTTTACACAGAAATTTTTTAAAAAAAAACACTCTGTTGCCCACAGGAACAAATGGGAACAAACTGTGTCCATTTGAGTCCCTCAGCTAAGTGTATTATCCATGTGAATACTGTGATACACCATTGTGTATTCACAATTGCAATGTTTGTTTGTTTTATTAATATTTATTTATTAATGTATTTATTTATTTATTTATTTATGATGTGAAGAAGAGTTTGTGCACACAGTCATCTATCAATTATCACCACTAAAGACTTTGAATCAATACAGCTCTAGTCACCAGAGAAAGCACGCGCTGTGGGTTACCATGGTGATGCGCGTTGTGTTTACCTCAGACGCTTCCAAGCTGCGCCTGCAGAAAGACAGAAGTTTGCCTGTGCTTTTGTTTATCCTGATAACTCAGGTATGTGGTCACAAAAGTGAAAAATAAGTCTGTATCCATGTCAGAACATGTACGCTCACATTTCTATGTTTATAGTCAAACAGTTTGTGTGTGATAAAAAGGAATCTTAAGTTAATCGAGATGATTTTTCCGAGAGTTCACCGGTTAGCGAGAGACGGTTGGTCTGTGTTATGATTTCAGCCACCGATCTTAGGCCACGTTCACACAGCAGCAGAATACGGTTGTCAGTCCTGTATTTGAGTCCTTAATACGGTTATGTTCACACACAGTTCGGTTATTTACGGGTGTGACAACCGCATGCTGTAACCGAACACACACCTGTAAATTTTCAGGATTCACAACCGCATTCTCGGAACACACGCGCTGTGTGAACGGAACAGGACTGGACAACTAGTTGTCTGTCACGTCATAAAGTGCGAGAGTATGGAAAGCCATATGGGTCATAATTCGCGTGCTTTTCACCGCCGTATCAATATTAAAACGCCGTTTTCATAACGCCGCCAGGCGTTAAATATGCTCCGTTAGGCGATAAGTTAACGGCAGACGCCACCACACGTTAAAATAACGCCACACGCCGACCGACGTTAAGTTAACGCCACACGCCACTTAAGATGCAGATTTATTTGCTCATCTACATGGACACACCTCTCATGGCTACAAGGACTCTACTATGGAGGACGAAACCTGCAAGATACGTCTCATATAAGTTGCATTTTAAAAAATAATAACGGCAGGCCTAATAATGTTATAATGTACCAACATTATGAACACTATAGGATATTTTAGTTCCCCTCACTTTACAACAAATCCTTTAAATTTAACCGTATCAGAACAGAATAAGAATTTAAAAATATAGAATTCTAATGGATAAATATAATTGCAGTATATTACTTTTGATGCCGCAACCCCGCTGATTTAAAATCCAACAATAAAATAATTCCTAGATTTATTTTCATAATTTTCAGGACTCGCACATGCATGTGGAGTCCCCAGTGCAGCAGGCAAGCTTGGAATATTGAAAAGCTTACATTCAGCAGATATAAATAATGCATTATATTGATTTTGTCAGGAAAAAAGATGATCTGAACACTTTTGTGTAAGTTGTGGCTTTACTTTACTCTGACATTACATCCCACCCACATCCTTTCTTTGAGTAACCAGCCCAACACTGGTTTTCAGTAACTTACAGTGAGGAGAAATTACGTGTCTGTCCAGCCCAACACTGGTTTTCAGTAACTTACAGTGAGGAGAAATTAGCTGCGTGTCTGTCATCTGAAATGTTTAAATCCCGTCAGTTTTCCACCGGAGCCACTCCCGTCAGTTTTGTGTTCTGCACGCGACTCAAATACTCCACTCTCCACCCAAGCAGATATAAATAATGCATTATATTGATTTTGTCAGGAAAAAAGATGATCTGAACACTTTTGTGTAAGTTGTGGCTTTACTTTACTCTGACATTACATCCCACCCACATCCTTTCTTTGAGTAACCAGCCCAACACTGGTTTTCAGTAACTTACAGTGAGGAGAAATTAGCTGCGTGTCTGTCATCTGAAATGTTTAAATCCCGTCAGTTTTCCACCGGAGCCACTCCCGTCAGTTTTGTGTTCTGCACGCGACTCAAATACTCCACTCTCCACCCAAATTTAAAGGGGTCATATGATGCTATTTCAATTTTTCCTTTCTCTTTGGAGTGTTACAAGCTCTTGGTGCATAAAGAAGATCTGTAAAGTTGCAAAGACTAAAGTCTCAAATCCAAAGAGATATTCTTTATAAAAGTTAAGAGTCAACCACGCCCACCTAAAATGGCACGTTCTAACACGCCCCCACATATCTACGTCACGATGTGG